TCTCGTCTTTCATGTGTAAACCCTTGAAATGAAATATATTTTGGTGGCCAGATGGGTACCTTGGTTTGAACTATATTGCTGCTTTACAGGAAGTCTGCAGGTAAAATAAAACGTATTGGCTTCAGTTTTTACACCTTTAAAAACCTCATCTTATTCTGACTTTTCTAATCTAACTTCAGGGTTCATCTTTCCTTTTTTCTGCAGAAAATTAGTGTACTCCTGTTTCTCATTCTGTACGCAGTAGGAGTGTATAAATTGATGTATGATTAAAGCAATGATGTCTCAGATTCAGCCTCTCTCTTTTGGCTGAGCTCCATACATCTGCTCTTACAGAAGTTCAGCTGAGTTTACCTGGCCAGTTGTACCTTTATAGTCTCTTCTTGGAAAGAAAATGATACTTGTATTTTAGATTTCACTCATGACTGCTTGAAATAAGTTACTGATGTGGGGAGAACTGAGCTGTCATCTAACTCTTAGATGTACTTAAACATATCTTTGAAGATGGAAGGAGTAAGAAATGATTCGTAAACACTTTTGCTGTGTTGTAAAATGCTTTCTTCTCTAAAGTTGGCTTTTTTACTATGGATGTTTTCAGCTCTTAGAAAACAAAATTCTCTAAAGTTGGCTTTTTTACTATGGATGTTCAACCTAAGTTCAGGTGATCTGTTTTCTTGCAGATTGTGCACTTTTGATTTGTGCACACAGATGAATTTCCTTTTAAAAAACACTATCAAGTCTTCTTTTGCTTATATAGCATCCTATTTTAGAGTATAAAATAACTTTTTGTTTCTCTATTACTTGTGATGTGTGTTAACATAGATTAAAAGTGATGTTTATTACTGCTTACGTACACTCAATTTTCAAATGTAGTTAAAGGGGAAAAAAAGTGTATTTGAGCATTAAGCCATAGCTTAAAAGATGCCTTTTTGGCTGGAGACTTCAATGTAACTGGTATGATTTGCTCTTTGCAAAAAGCACCCCCTGCACCTGACATTTCACTTCTTACTAGACACTGACTCCTTAATCTGAGCGTACTTCAAATTAATAACACTGTTTTAATGAATAAATAGCAAAGCAATAGGCACTGCGTAGTGCCCTTAATTTGGTAATGGTTGATTATAGAGTAGGATAACCTAAAGGGTCAAGAGTAAAATAGTATGATCTTCCATTTGTATTGTAGCTGCTCTCCAGTGTCTGAAAAATAAGTTATGAACCTGTGCAATTAAGATAGCATGTCAAACATAATAGTCAGCTGTTTTCAATTAAGACTTAAGTCCTGAGAGTACATTAAATGAGGCTTTTAATCAAAGAAGAAAGGGATAAAAAAAATAATGCAATTTGATTGCCTTGAGATACTTGATTTTTGTAAAAACGTAAAAGGTTGTGATCAGCCATTGCATATGTAGGGCTAATCTTAACGATTATTTCCGTAACTTTTGGTTTTTATGATATCCTTCCAAACATTCAGGAAAATGGCTCACCTTTGGCCCACCTCAAAGCACCTCAACTAAAAGACAGGCAGCAGCGGAGCTGCAGGAAAAACCCAATAATGTGGGGCTGGATGTTGGAATTTTCTTTGTGAAAGATGATTGTATTGATTGCTAATAGGGTAATGAAAGAAGAAGTCTATGTTCTTTGTATTTCATAAAATAAAAGCAAAATCATTTGTGAAAAACTATAGGGAGGGGAGCTAAGTTTAATGTTGGGTAGAGTGACACGATAACATGCGATGTTGGGTTGATAGAGGACAGAGAGGGGGACTACCTCGAGCCCTGTTCAATTTGACAGCTTGCCCATTTCCCGAGAAAGACGAGACCCTTGTCTCTAACGCGCCTGCTGCACTCCATTCAAGGACAAGGGGGAACTTCCTCAAAACCTTTACAATTTGACCAGCCTGTCAGGCTTACGCAGACAGCGTCACTGTGACAAATCCCTCTGGACTGCCTGCAAGGTCAGAGGGTGCTCATCTGACCAGAGACTCTCCTTTATATCCTTGTATCAATTATTGACATTTCTGGAAACTTATATTTTATAGATAAACCAATTTTATTACATATGTTCGTGACAGGATATAGGTTCAAAGATAACCAGTGATCAGATACTGACTGCGAAAACAGATGTGGAACAATATATGAACAGAACTGATCAGTAGTGATTTTAAATAGCAAGTAAGATGTTACTAATTAAGTGTGCATAACACAGAGCTCTTACCCAAAAGGTGTCCCTGTGCAAGGGAGAAGAGAGGTCCAGCCCGTCAACTGATCCCAGGCGTTCTGATGGAGGTCCTCCCTCAACACCCCCTTCTCTTAAGCCATTTTTATACTGGTTTTTACTTTCAGGTGGAGCTCGAGTGACTCTAGTCATACATACCTTGTTAGGGTTGGTGTAAATTTCCCTCGCTTTGTTTTAAAGGTATAGACGAGCAAAATTTCAGGGCACATGCTCTGTGAGGGGTGGTCGCAACCCCGAGGCGGGTAGCTTTTGTGCTGGCTGAGGCAGCAGTTGCAATCCATCTTCCTTGATGGCAACTATGCAGTTATCTTCGCCAGTCACTCTTTATCTCTGATAACAGGGATGAGCCGTGGTACCTCCGTACCACTCTACTCGCTATTCCAAGGATATGGTACTTTCCACTCAGCCAGAGCAGGCCTTGTCCATGCCAACCGCATTATGTTTCTGGGAGCAGCAACTTTAAGTTGCCTCAAAGCTGCTCTAATATTACAGCATATGTTAAGATGTAAGCTGTACTTTGGGGAGCGCTGTTCTTCCATTCCCCCCATTTTCTGTTATTTTTCGACAGTAGAGTTTGCTCTGTGATTGATGCCTGTCCCTTTTGAGGCTGTGTGGGTTTTGGAAAGATGGAATTATAAATTCTATACCTATTTTCTCCTGTTTCACTTAATTTTAGCCTTTGTGTTGAATTTCCAGAAGATAAGTTATAAAAGGCATGTCAGATTAGATGAAAGTTCCATTGAACTGTATATACAGTGCTTGCAACTGACAAATACCGTGATTTTTTTTTTTTCCTTTTGTTAAAAATAGGATGCAGGACAGAAGAGATTTGGTGCTGTTTCTTGTAATATTTGTGGAATGCTTTACACTGCGTCAAATCCAGAGGATGAAACTCAGCATCTGCTTTTTCATAACCAGTTCATAAGTGCTGTAAAATATGTGGTAAGAAAACCTTATCTTTTTAAAGACACAAGCATTATCTTTTATTTGCTGTGAACCAGTTACAATTCATGTTACATTAAGTCATGTTTTAATAGGTTAATATCACAGTAGGCCACAAATAATCCACTTGAGGAAATAAATGTTTTTAAGAGCCGTGATATGTAACGTATAAAAATATTTAGTAGAATAGTGGTGTTTCATTGCCATTGTATTCTTTCTGTTACAATTCTGTAATCTTGGGGGTGGTGATAGGAAGACAAAGGAACATCACTGTTCTGAAAGTGCTAAATACAGGTTTCAGTACAACTGGTGTTTGCAATGGTTGACTTAATAGTCAGGTAAAGAGCTCAGTGTACTGTTTCTCTAATTGTGTACTCTTAGATGGCTTCTAAATTACTTTTTCTTTATTATGTGTAGTTTGCAGAGAGACTGCCTAGGAATCCAGCTGGTTCAACTTCGTAGTGTATTGAAACTTTACTGAATTTATAGTGTGATTGTAATCTTTAAATATAAAGTCCAAAGTATTATTCCATAACTTCATTGTTTGTGATATATCTGAGTCTCTCATGTTAAAGCTCAGATTTGAAAAATTTTGTACAATTTAAATATATTGTAAAATCAGCTACTTCACACTAACTGATATTACAAGGCTTACAGGGAATATCTGTTCACATGTCTGAAATCCAGAATAGAATCCACAAAGTCTATTTTCTTTATCACACATGTTACCTTCAGTACTCTACACTCGAGTAGATAAGACCTCCAGGATAACTGAACTGAGGCCACCAATTCATTTCATATAGGTACCAATGGCTGTTGGGCTACTCTGATATCTCAAGCTCAATTTTATCCCACTATTTATAAATATAAAGATATATCTTCATAGCTAAAGTGTTTGAAACCATCTGGTAAATAGTTCTGGTGTTTGTTCTGTTCTTGGTTAGTTTTTGCTGAATAATCCAGACACCTTGAAAGATCTCTTCTGATAACGCGTTATCTACATTGTAGAGTGAGACTGGGCAGAAAGCGTGATGGAGCGCAGTACATTATAATGGTAGCGTATAATACATTGGAATCCCCATTTTATTCCTGTTCATCTTTTCTCCCCCTTCCCAGTACTTTCAGATCTTGAATGTTACCAAAGTTGTAAACATAATTTACAGAAGATGGTGTTAGTTCTTTTGGACAGAAGCTGGCAGATGAGTTCAGTAGTTACTTAAAGCTGCTGTGTTTACATAGGTAGGAAGCTGCACTGAAGTTTGAGTATTTTGAAAGGCGAAAAAGCTGGAATTTTCTTATGTGTTTCTAGAGTAACAACGTTATTAAAATAAAAGTGAAAGAGCAGATTGTCTTAAACCAGTTATCAATAAATATATAAAGTTAAGTAGGCTTTTAATTTGAGAAAAACTTTCCTGCTTGTTTTCTCAGTTGCTAGGCATCTTTTTAAAAAACACAATGTGTACTCAAGCAAATTATTTGTATTGTCAGGGCAATGGTTAAACCGTTCTCTCTCTCAAGTCTTTTAAGACTCTGGTTGTGTTTTATGACATCGTAGATGGCTATAGAGCAATGATTTAGATGATTATCCTATAACAGAAACTGTAGAGTAAGGAGGTGAAGGAAGGAGTCTTATGAGTCTTTAAATTTCCGTCTATTTTTTTGTTTGTTTTTTTCCTCACAACAATTTGATTGACACTCTGTTTTCTGCATGGGTAAGTAACTTTTGCCATGCTAAGTACGTAGGTCTTTAACACTAGTCGTTTGACCCATAGTCACTGCTTCTTGGTTGATTGTATTGTGGTAAAGTCCATGACAGAAACATCTTTACCTCTGCTTAGAAAATAATTTGAATTTTAGATAAGCCTTCTTGCCAGTGAATTAATACACGAAATTTCTGCTTGTTAATTCTTAGTCATCCATAAACACCAGAAGAATGATTCCTAGTTATCCTCGTTTTGCTAGGAGGTTTCTGGTGGGGATTGTTGGAAGGATAGCTTGGAGGTGTGATATGCTTGGTTTCTAGGTATTTGTATGTAGTTACTGTGTTGAAACTGTAACTACCTTCCTTTCTCAGACAAAGTATTAACTGGACAATAGCATTGTGGGATTAAAAAATCTGTACTAGAGAAAGTCTTGGTAACTTCTTGGTTAGACTTTCTGATCCAGGAACATCTGGTCTTGTTGACCTTGGTATGTTACTTTATTAGCTCTGCAAATATTTTTTTTTTAAATGTAGTTAATGTGTTTGGCATTGTTGTTGATTTGGAGGCTGTTCTAAGGTGACTTAGAAGCATTTTTATTCTCTTGTCATTTACATTCTTCATGCCATACAATGCAGTCCCAGTCTGACCTGGGAAGACTTTTTCATTTTTTTTCCCTTTTGAGTGTCTCTTGTTACGTATCTAGTAGTTCTATTGATGATTCATTTCACAGGATCACAAAAAAAAGCCTAAATACATTATCATGCTGCGAACTGTGAAAATGGACTTGTTTGTGTCTTGCCCACCTGCATGCAGCTGCTTTGTGGGGTTTTTTTTGAAAGTAGTGTGTAGCCAGAAGATAGTTTGCATGTAAATTATAAATTGTTTACCGTCTTCAACAAAATATCATTTTGTTGGGGTTTTTTTAAGGCCTACTTTGTTTCTTCTAGGAAAAAGGTTGTTTTAGGTCTCTAGAAAATTCCGTGATGCCCCCAAAAGCAGGACAGGCTAACAAGGAGATGGTATTAGGATACTTGTTTTGTCATGTATGGCTGATAGAGACAGTAAGGAAATTGCAGGCCTTGTGTGGAGAGAGAAAGTTTGGCAAATTTAATGACTTTTTCTGTATTTGGGAACAGAAAATTGTCACTGACTGATACGGGTTTTCTGAAGGGTGCTGTTTGCTATTAACAGGAATGTGCAAATTGAATAAGCAAGAAAGTAAGGTGGTCAAGGATAGTACTGGAGCAGGAATAGATTAGTGTGGGAGATGTCCTGTACTGGAGACAAGTGTAGACTGTCTCACTATCCTTCTGGTTTCAGACATCTGAAAGTCTCCAGAAAAAATACGCCACTCTAGCATGTGCATACATCGAGTGATGACATACACGTGAAATATTAACTCCCATGGGATGGATAACTTTGTGGGATGGGTACGTGGTTCAGTTTTTAAAAATACTCTGGCTGTGATACTGCACAATATCAATTGTGTATCCTCTCTGTGGTACCACATAATATCAATTTAGGATTTCTGCAACATTTTTCCAAGAGCAAGACATTATTTTTAATGATGTTTTTAAGTTGTAAAGCCAAATGCTTGAGTTAGAAAATGCCTGTAGATTCAGGTGCCTGATGTGAATGCAGTTAATGTGTTTATATTTCAAGCTCATCCTCTTATTAAGACTATCTTGAGCTGAAAAAAGTGAAAGAAGCTGTTGTTTGGGTTAATATCTAATCTGATAAGTTTTAAATAGCTACTCTGCTGTAATTGCATCCAAACCCATCTATGAGGTTCTTAGGATTTTCAGATTAAAACAAGCAAACAAAAAAGCAACCTTTGACTTCTTGGAACCTACAGTTAATATTGGGATTGAAGATGATGATGAACTACTTGTCATCTTTGAAAGATTTCATGGTTGTCTTGATTTGCATTAATTCCAAAAGTGATACATCTGTACAATATAAAACTTAATAATATGTCAAAGTTCTTACTATTAGGTATCTTCTGTAAGAATCTTTAGTTTTAGCAGAAGGCAGCATTTAATAGTTGCATCAAAGGATCTTAATGTGTTCTGTGGTCAAAACCTCATTCTCCATGTTACACTCATGGGAAAGAGAGGTAGAATATCTGTAACTTGATGAAGGAGTCTGGAAGAAGGATGCAGTAGACCATTTCTCTGCTACAAATTATCAAGGGTAAAAGGACACAAAATTTCATACTGAACTTGATTATTTGGAGAAAATTGCACAAATGTGAAAGAATTATACAGTATTAACTACATTTTGCTCACTACCTCAATATTTTTGAGGAAAAAATGGTATAAGAAAAAAATATCACCGATCTTCATGTATTTGTATTCATTTGGGAAATAAGGAGTACAGACAAGCCAGAACTGACATATATGGAAAAATAACAGGTTTGGTGTCCCATTTCCTACTGTTATGTAAGAACTTTTAAAACATGAGGAAATGCATGGAAAGCAGTCTGTTGTGTCTTCTAACTTACGCTTATAAAGGCAAATCTACATCAGATACTACTTTAAACTAGAAGCAGAACATAGTTTGTATGAAATGAGTGCTGAACATTCCAGCTACAGAACTGTTAACGTTGGAGCCATCTTTCCAACTGTATTCTATGTGATTCGTTATACAGTGCATAATATCCAGTGAAAGCAATGTACTGCACGGTGTAGTTGTAATTACTGTCCACACTATTTCATGATGTGGTAGCAACTGCTTTCTCTGTATTGCACTTTTTTGAATGATTTCTTTCTTTTGCAATTCTGTTGCCATCGCACCTTAATAAGGCAGTAGAAACAATCTTTAATCTTGTTTGAATTGGGATGAAAAGTTAGAGGTAGATTAAAAATGACTGAAGTGTTCATCACAGAGTTGCCTTATGTTCTCAAACTATTAAAAATACCTGTAGGATAGATAACCATAACACGGAAAGGAGGGGGGTGTTGCAACAGTTCCTACATGCCGACGGGGCTCTGTACAGCACTGATTTGCCCAGCGGTGGTGAGTAGGCTGTATGTGCCTTGCTCCTGGTGGCTGTAGGTCATCTGTTGTTGAGCATAGACTTCCAGTATCAGGGAGGAGTGGTATAATCATGTTGGTTTACTCCGGGCCTTGCAGAACATGCATCCTGGTGGGAACAATAGCTTTCCTTCGAACTTCTTTGGTCATCACAAGCAGTGTGTATCAGAACTTGGGCATCTCGTTCAACAGTAGATAAGTCTTAATGCCCTAAAGTAGTGTCAGTTAAAAGGAAAGGAAAAGCAAATTTTCTGACATTGCGGAAGAATATTGTGAAGTATATTGCAGACCTAATGCTTTTATTTCTTACTATAGTAGGGTGTTCTTGACATCTGCCTGAGTTAAGGAGTGCTACTTTAGTTCTCAGTGATTCATACAAAATACAACAGTTTGCAAGGTGTTAAAATAGTGGGGGTTTGTTAAAAAAAAAACAATAGGTGTGTTGAGGGGAATCGTCTTAGACCACATGCAAGGTACTGGTACTAAAGTGTATTTTGTATATGGTAGATAGCTAGTAGGAGCAGTCCCAGTTGAACCTGTAGCACATTGTCCTGAACAGCTTTAATGTTAGAATATGAAAGAGCCGTGACCCATCTTGTGCGTTACTTCCTTTTGTCTGGTTTAAAGGAAGCACAGTTCATTACTTACCGGGACTGAACAGTAAGGGTACTGAAGATGCAGATGCTTATGTGAAATGTTAGTTTTTCTTTTTGAAACTCATGGAGCTGATTTAATAACAAAGGAATATGATTTTTAAATGTCTTCTCTGGTGTAAACCAAATGAACTAAAAACCTTGGATGAGCTTTGGGTTTGCAGAAACTTTTTGGAAACCTTCATCTAAAAGATATATTTCTGAATAAATTCCAAAATACTTCAATTTAGAAACTACATCTCCTGTGAATACGATCAGTCCCCATGTTATACTAATCACTTAAGAAAATTAATAGGTAGACAATAATGAAAATAACGAGTTCTCAGTGTTAGAGAGTCAATTATTGCATTTTTATGTAATTATTTTTAGACTGCTGATGATACACTGTTGCTTAGAAGTGTAACAGCAGTAAGCTGTTCAGAAACATTTTCTTCCATCAGATTTCATTTTGTTGGAAATACTTGGTGATTATGTTAACAGAATACCATAACCTAAAATTTAGGGTTGAATTTTCTGCATTAGGCCTGGAGCATTCTGGATGCTGTAGTGGTAGGATTATCAAACCCCTTGTATTTATCTGCTGAATGATGGTCACAGTTGGCTTAAAGTAGGCTATAGAAAGCTTTTGCCAGGCAAACAGGTAGCCAAAAGGCAGCAAAAGACAAAAAAATGGAGAGAGGATGGTGTTAGATTTGGAGAGCAGTAGTAATCTCTGCCTGAATTTTTTGACACCGTTTCTAACAGTCTCAAAAGGCGTGTCACAATCCCACAAATTAGACTTTTTTGCTTACCTGAATATTGTGACACTGCTGTTTACTGCCCTTTGTGTTCAGACCATAATATATATAAATTCAAATAGGATCTTCATTTGTGTTGGCGTTTAGTGCAACTACTACTGAGAAGAAAAGCAGGCAGGATTGAAATCGTGTTTGTGTTGCAGCCGTTGCCATTCTGGGTGCTAAACTCATTTAAATAGTTGCAGGGCTACCAGTAAGTAGATAAATTTCTAAAATTATTCTCTTCATGTCTTGTTTGGGGTAAGGGAGTAAAATCAGCGTGGTTAAAATGAGATACAGATCAAGTGTTGTAACACTCAAGTTTGCCTTTTTTTGTGGTAGTATATATGGCATTCCTTCAGTGCCAAATTCCATTGTTTGGTCGTCAGTTGAACATTATGGGAAGGTACAGATTTCAGTGAGAATTATTCCATCAATATTGTATCTTCAAAGGCTTTTTTATTTAAAGTTGCTTTGAGTAAGACTTGTAGATCAGCCTTTTTAGTGGCTGGAGTTACTTCTGCATTCAATATTTTTAGGTCCCATCAAAGCAACTTGAGTTCTAATATCTACCAGTCCCATCTTACTAGATTTAAGCGGCTTTTTTGTTTTGTTTTTTTCCATGCAGGTACTGCTCATTATTCACCACCAGTGTGGATCTGAAGAAGAGTTAATTACCTCTATTTTTTTGAGTATGTTTATACTTCAGATACACACAACGTAGCCTCCTTCCCCATTAGATTCTTAGAAGGTAGTTATAAAATTTTTTCTAGTATCCTTCTTGTGGCTTTAACAGTTATGATCAGTAACAAAATAAACTATTCCTTACATTTTGGGCAACTGCATGCCAATCAGTTCACTTAGAACCTCCTGGAGGTCTTTCGCATGCCAAACTTTAAAACTGAGTGTGTATTTGTGGAGGTAACTATGTTAAAAAGAAATCTTTTAATAAAACTTAGGGTTTTTCCCATTCACTGGACTTGGAAAATAAGTATTACATAGGCTTGGAAATCAGTTATGCGAGCCGAGTTTGCTACTTCTATTTTAAAATTCAGTTTGCACTGCAGTCCTGGGGGAAAAAAAATCTAGTTGGGAAATCATAAGACACTTTCACAAATTGTTTCTAGATGTAGTTAGGCTATTGTGTAAATCATTGTTTAAATAAGATCATATGGTATCTGTTGTGCTCATTTAAAAAAAGCTAGCTGAAGTTTCCTTCTCTAGCAAAGCAACTGCTAAATAGTGTGAAGTCTCTGCATAAGTTCAGTGTCTAGAACGATAATGTGCAATTCCTGTTTGTAAAAATACATCTTGTATATGGTTTCGATAAGTGTTTGTTTTATTTAGGGTTGGAAAAAGGAGAGAATTTTGGCTGAATATCCTGATGGAAAGATAATAATGGTTCTTCCTGATGACCCAAAGTATGCACTTAAAAAGGTATGGTGAAATGGACTGCACTTTTGCATATCTTACCTTGTTTGATATTTTAATATAAGTAATGAGAATGTTCATAGAGAGTTCGTATAATTTATGTGTCAGCGGTCGAAGTTGGAATCAAAACTGCAGCGATTCTGTAGCCTTTTCCACAAACAGGTCAGACGTCTCACTCTTCCGTGTTGCTGCTCGCTCCATAGAGAGGGCGGGTCTGAGCAGGAGTGGAAGGCAGGGGTGGGAACAGCATCAACCAACTGATTTTTTTACTTTTTTTTTAATATATTTGCTGAATCCCAGATATTTTATATGACATAAAGTTCCTGCTATATTTCAAAAAACTGAAACGCATTGACATTATTAAGTAGCATGAATACGGCACCATTCTCTAAACAATTTTTGGATAAAAACGGATTTAGGTGGGGAGTGGCCTCAAAGTTGTGTAGTCCATTCCCATGTCCAAAGCAGGATCAGCTCTGGTTATGATGCATCTGACAATTTGCTAAAACTTCTGCCACTGGAGGTTTTTCTAACCTCTCTGGACTCTGTCACAGTGCTTCGCTATCTATATTTTCCCTAAGTGTCCAGCAGACTTTCCATACTAAAATTTAAGCTCATTAGTGCAAATCCTACTGCCATAACTATAGAAAACATCCTAATTTTCCTCTTTGCGACAGCTTTTTTGTGCCTGAACAAACTGTGATTGTTTCACCTTAAGAAGATTGACAGGATCTGCTGGTTTTCAGTTTGCACTCCTAAATAATGTTTTATAGAGCTCTGATCATTGTCTTACTCTCCTCTAGATTATTTCCATTTGTGTCATGTCTGACGTCACTCTTGAAGCTCTTTGTCCAAAACTGGGCACAGCATGCTAGTGGAGACTGAGAGCAGCAGGGTGCTTTGGTGTCTCACTGGCTAGCCTGTGTTCATACATCTTAATATGTCATCACATTTGTTTTGTCAGTGGCACATCATTGATTCTGTTTAGCCGTGGATTTGCTGTGACTAATAGGTATTTTTTTACAGTACCACTGTCACAGGATCACGGAATGGTTGAGGTTGGAAAGGACCTCTGGAGGCTGAATCGATGCTCAAGACAGCTCTTTCTGATGGCGTGGCTGTAGTGGGCTTTCTTTAGCCTAACATACTACTTTTTCAGTTATTAAATTGAAAGTACAGGTTTTCTTTTTGCAATATTCAGTGCAGCTAAGGTTATTAAGTTTTGTTTCTCTGGTAGTATTATCTTAATTTTAGTATGTTCGTTTTTTTGCTGAAATGGCTGAAGAAAAGAATTACTTAAAATACCTAAGTGGGGCAGAGGAAAGGAAGACTGTAGCAAATGAAGTAATTTAGGATAGAGTTCTCTGTAGTTCTGTGTGGTTAACATTGAGAGAATCTACAGTTGTCACCACTGTGGATGGATGACTTCAAGAATGGTTACTCAATCTTTCAAATTGGCTGATTGGACTTGCCATCAAAAGGCTGGTGCCTGAAGGTTTGATGAGAAAGTAGAGAGTAACTGATACCGTGCCTTTTAAAAGGTTTTTTTTTTGCAAGCATTTTTTTAACACAATTTTCATTTGATCGGTACTAACTTCATATATTCATAGCATCAGTAATTCTGGTTTTGCTTTACTAATGTAATTACAACATGCGTTAAAGAAGTTTATGCTGTATAATGCACCACGCAGGAAAGGCCACCTTATTTCCGTCTCATACGAGATGGCAGAGGGATGACAGAGGCTGTTTCAGTGCCTGGTTGTAGGTACAAGAATCCTTCAGTAAAATCTCAGCTTATGCGTAAGCTTTTGTTTACACTCGTGCTGGAGTTTATGTATTTCCTCTGAGCTTGCTAATATTAAACAACATTTTATTTTTAGCTTCCGTTACTCTTCGCAAAGCTAATGGAAGAGCAGAAAACTTGAGGAAAGAGATGACAGTTACTCATTCCTTTACAACAAATGCATACGTTTTCTAGCTGCCTTGGCACTGTGCTGGCTGTCATCTGCTCCAAACCCTTAATAGATCAGTTCTTTCCAGGCTTTAAAAATAACAGACAGAAAACCTTCAACTAAGGCAGTCTAACTTATAGCACGGATCTCATTTACTTCTAGAATATCAGAGTCCACATTTTGATTGTCTGCATTCTCTCTACTAGCCTTTGACTAATTGAAGTTTGGACTTAATGGAAGCTGACTTAGAGGTCTCTACTCTTTGTATTTCCAGTTGAGCATTATTTAAGGAACACCTATGTGGACCAATGTGTTGCAGGTTATGTAGGATAATCCTTAACTTCTGGAATCGCTTTCAGTGTTCTAGATACCTTAGTGCATTTTTGCAAATCTGTAGATTTTACATAAATGTATACAAATGTATATTTACACGTGTTACTTATACAGCATTTAAACTTATTTTGACAGGTCGAAGAAATTAGAGAGATGGTAGACAATGACTTGGGATTTCAGCAAGCGCCGCTCATGTGTTACTCTAGAACTAAAACTCTTCTTTTTATTTCTAATGACAAAAAAGTTATCGGCTGTTTAATTGCAGAACATATCCAGTGGGTAAGTGATTGAATTAGAGAAAGGCAATCAATCTGTGTCAGTGCTTACTAACTGTGTTCTTCAGATATTCTGAGACTATAGAATTACCTCGGAGTTTGAGTCTAGCCATTTAGCAAGTAAGTATTCCGTGGGTGCCTCTTCCACAGAGGAGGAGACTTTCAGTGGTAGATCATTCTGAAATGTAGTTACTCAGTTTTGCGTAGTTGTCACTGAGCTGAGACACACATATGGTGTCATACTTGGCTCAGACCTGCTCATCTAAGAACTTGCTACAGCTGAAGGGTGGAATTTTTCTTCCTCTGCTATTCTTACACTAGCTCTGGCTGTCCTCTTGCTTGTTGACAAGCAGATTCAACTCCCTGCCTGGCAGAAAGCCAACGTGGATGAAAAAGTGGGTCCTCTATAGGACTGAGTTGAATTGCTGTGGGGTCAAACAGCTCCTACAGTGAACAGAAGCAGAGGGCAGAACTGTGCAGGGAGAGCAGGCCAAGAACTCGTACTGCCAGTTGCAGAACTAAAAACTGACATCAGAACTTCGTCGCATGTTCTGTCTGTTCCCTTGTAAACTGTGGTGTTTTCTGCCTCCCTTGGGAGTAGCAGACAAGAAGCAAAACAATCTTAGTCAACGTCAGAGAAATTGATGCGAACACTTTAATACAACTGGTAATAAGAATTGGGTTATTTGTGGCTGTTATTTTAAAACAGATGAGCTTTAGTGGGTTTTTTGGTTTAATCTTTTATCGTCTGTTCCAATTTCGAAGCTGTTAAGAGAAGTGAGACACAAATATGCAGCCTTTTTGGTAAGACGTTTTAGCAAGTGGGTATGTTCAACTGAAAGAAATGATACAAGAATTACTTTGTTCAGTCATTAGTGGTTTTTATAAAGTGACACATGCTTTTTACATCACCTGCAGGGCTACAGAGTTATAGAAGAGAAGGTTCCAGAAGTCAGTTCGGAAAATGAGAAAGTCATCTTTGAAAGACAGAAAGCATGGTGCTGCTCAACTTCTCCAGAACCTGCTATTTGTGGGATTAGTCGAATATGGGTATTCAGCATGATGCGTCGAAAGAAGGTCGCTTCTCGGATGATAGAGTGTCTTAGGTAATAGAAAAAAAGTTCCTCGGTTACGTGTATTTTAGATGGAACTCAGTCCACGGCATTTATTGCTTTCTGTGTCTCAAGTGTGTATTTGTAAGCTTCTGGTGATACTGGGGATGCAGATTTGAGCACAGTTGACAGTTCCAGTATTACGTGGAGTTCAGTAACTTGGGTCAGTGTTGTGCAACAGCTTGTCTTCCACAGAAATCTTTCTGCCAGGGGCAGTTGTAATGAGCTGCCAGTGAGCTTGGGTGGATTCCTCTGAGGTAGTCACAAGTGAAGGAAATGAGACTGGTTTTGGTCAAAGCGTGAGATGACCCAGGTGTGAAGGGCTGTGGCCTAATCACTGGCCAAATGTCCATTCCTTAGAGGTATAAAGGGGGAAAGAGCAGAGACGAGTGCACCAAACCATTTGATGATGTCTGGTGGCTTCCAACTGTACCTTTTTTTTTTTTTTTTTTTTTTTGCTTCACTCAGGTTCACTTGTATTTTCAAGTTCCATGTAGCTTTAGCAGCTAGTGGTGAGTATTCAGCCGAATGCGAAGTGCTAGATCCATAAAAGGACTCAAACATCCATGCTGCTGTTTAGAAAAATTTTAAAAATGTTGAATCTCCAGACCTTAGGTTTCTTCCAGTGACATTTCCTAGAAGTTTAAACACCTGTTCTGAGTCATGCCAAGAACTACTAAAATCTTATTACTGCTGGGCTGTCAGGTTTGTGCTAGGCGCTTGCCTAACCCCGTCTTGTTGCAGTTTGTGGTACAGATACTCCTTTGTCTGCCAGTCCTTGCCCTCTTGGGTATTTGGGATGCCCCACCCCTGGAAGTGTTCAGGGCCAGGTTGGATGAGGCTTTGAGCAACCTGATCTAGTGGAAGGTGTCGAGGGGGGTTGGAACTAGATGATCTTTAAGATCCCTTCCAACCCAAACCATTCTATGGTTCTGTGATTTGGAGAGCCTAGCAAAGCTGTTCTGCTCTGCAGAATGCATCTTGCCTGGCTGGTGGAGCAACTGGAAAGTTCTTATCAGATCACATTCTGTCTGAACTATCGACTGCAAAGCTGTATTCTGATAAGCATGTTAACTTGATGATTTGGTTTGATTTTTGGCTGATTTTTAATTGTGTATTCAGTAGCTTCCTAGAAACTATTTCTAAAGGAAAGATTTCTTCCCCAAAGCGATGGTGGAGTTGCTCCCTCAGTTACAGCTCTAAAGGATCTTTAGAATCAATTTTAATGGTTAGTTGCAGCCAGCAAGAAGAGGTCTCAGTTTTTCTTTTAGCTGTGCGCTGCGTCTTACCTTTTGCTGTGCTCTGGTGCTTGTTTGGCCTTCGTGAGCTCATCGCTGCGTTAGTGAAAAACAGGCTCACCAAAAAGAGCTTCGTGTTTCTCTGGTGTGCAGCTGGTTTGTAGAAAGGTCTGATGTCCACCAGAGTTGGTGTAAACTTGAGTCCACTTTGAGAACGTCTGCCCCGTTTCACTCAAGCTTCCACAGCTGACCTGCAGTCACAAAAACCTGGTCAGACAGTCTTAAGGATCTTGAAAAGTCATCTTCTTAAATACACTGAAGAGAAGGGAGTAAAGCTGGTAATAATTAAAAAGGATTTTGTTCCTATTGTCTTCTCCTCAAGACATAATGGAGACGTCCATTTGTGATCAAAGTTCATATTTGCTCTGCAAGTACATGTGAGCTTATTTTGTAGGAATTAAAAACCTTAACTTTAATGGGAGTTTCTTCTGTTTCCAAGGATAAACATTACCTCTTCCTTCCCCTGATGGAGGCCTTAAAGCCTGAGATCAGTTTTCTAAATTTGCTTACGCAGCCATCCAGAAAAGTACAGTGATGTCCCTTGATCTTGTCCTCTTTCTTCACATAAGAATAAAACATACATAAAATATTTTCACAAAGAAGCAAATTGAGTCTTCCTTTTCAAGTAGTTCTTACGGAAAGTGTATCACTTAGCAATTATGCCTTAAGCTTTTGTTCTTAGATGATCTAAATTAATCCAAGATGTGCTCTTACCCAAATGTCAAATGTTTGGGTTTTTTTTTTTTTCAAACCAGGAACTTGAAATTTCATCATTTCAGCCCCCTCTGTAAGCACCCGGACTTGCTTGTAGCTCAGGTTTTTGTTCCTGGTGATTGCAGTCACAGTCCTAGCAGAGTCTTTTTGTGAAGAAATAGTTGGAATGAATTCAAACCTTTTTTTGAACTCTGAAATTGAACTCTTGATGCAGCTCAAAGTAATTGCTCCATACAAACACCTCTTCTAAATTACCAAAACTTTATAGAAGCCCTCCCAGAACAAGTGATTCTCCTGCCCATTTGGAGATAGCTCGTGTAAGTAGAGCCATCTCCTCCTGATAGAGCTTCTTCCTTTTGAATGTCCGTGCCACTTCATTAAGGGTTTGTGGCCTAATAGCATAAATATTCTTGCCTTATTCCCCGAGGGTAATTATCTTTCTTTTTTTTTTTTTTTTTTAAATCTTTTAAACAGGAGCAACTTCATATATGGCTCATACTTAAGTAAAGAAGAAATCGCTTTCTCTGACCCCACTCCTGATGGAAAACTCTTTGCAACGCAGTACTGTGGCACTGGCCAGTTCCTGGTATACAACTTCCTCAATGGACAGCACCAGACTTAACTGCTCCTGGAGGAATTCCGTTTTTATTGGGAGACTTCTGCCAAAATGCACTGGGCAGGTGCAGACCTTCAGCAGAAGTCAGGGCCATTTTTATTACCGTGAACTCAGGACTGGTAACAACCGGAAGGTTGTACTATTTTGTTAAACTTGTAAACAATGCAGTAATAGGCTAACTTTGGTTTTTTAAAAGAAAGATATTTTATTAACTTTTACAGAAGTTTGATTGTATTTTATCTAGTTAGTCATGTTTACATGCAGCAGGAAATTGTTCATAGTGGACTGTAAACTAATGCAAAGACTCTGGTCTCGCTGATGAGTACGTGCTGAAGTTCTTAATGTGGTGTCACACCAGTGCCCCTCGGTGCTGTACCGCTCGTCTCCTGCCAGCCTTCCGGCTGCTGGGCCAGCTCTGTAACGGCTGCCTGCTTGGCAGCGTCCAAGGGCACGCTTAACCGCGTGGCGGCGAGCAGCGTTACGGTGCGGCCCTCAGCGCCGTGCGGCGGCTTCTGGGGCGCCTCCCGCGTACTGCTGGGTGTAAGGGAGCGCGCTGACTGTCAGCAGGGACAGAAGCGTGTCCCACCCGCCGTCCCCTTCTCCCTGCGATGAGCTGTAGAGTACGAGGTGGAACGAGAACCCTGAGGACTGGTGTACTCGCCCCTCTCCTTCCAGTACTGTACCGAGTATAAACCTTTGTTAGTGGACTTCACTTTGATACTTGTCACTCCTTCATAAATCTCTGCTCTTTTAAAGGGTTTGTATGTTGAAAAACTGCTGTGGCCTTTCTTGATCTGTACATACTGTAGATAGATTAAAAATAAAATACTTGATAGCTTTTTTTAAAGTTACTCCGTATCGATATGAAGTGTGGATGAATCTTTAGTGTATTCCATGCTCTTGCATGTGAGGTATGACCTTGGCGGGTAACGGCAGCGCGTGTTTTGAAGCCGTCTCTGGAGAAGACAGTTGCTGCGTTTGTACCTGCTTGGGGTCAGAATTCCCGTTGTGACCACGCGTTTGCATCACACCCCAAGGATCAGTTCCCCAATAGCTCCGGATCAATACCATCCTGACACACACATCCACAGTAACAGAGAGGCGATGCCTTCAACTTCGAGTAATAGCTTAAAACCTGAATAGAAGATGGGAAAGACTTAAGTAAATTTAAACTTCAGGTTTGTTTTAGTTTTGGAAATCAGGTGCTGTTAGGATATGTGTGTTGGTGCTGTGCTGCCCTTACCTTGGTCTGGAGCGAAAGCAAAGAACTGCCCCCACCCCTGAAACGCTGTTCAGAGCACCTAAAACTGAAGTGGCAGAAGGGTGGCGAGTCCTGCTCTGTAGAGGCTGTCCTTTCCAAGCTGCAACTGGTAATTTTCACGAGATTGGGAGCAGCCTGTGTCATGGTTTAGTGGCTTTGTCACAAAAGTGGCGCAGGGTCACAGACAATCGGAGGCGATACTCGCCGGTGGGCACGGAAGGCAAGAAGCACCCAGGTACTTCTGCTGCCCTGGAGTTCTTGCCTGAGCAACACCCAGGTGTGGCTGCACCAAGCCCCATTTTATAACTGCTCATTTTTCAGGGGGCTAAAAGCCGGTGTTTGCAGCTTGTGCACCTCCGCCCTGCGGACTGTTCAAAGGGAAGCTGCTCTGCCAGATCACAGGGACCCAGTTTGAAGGACCTGTGACAGCAACAGCCCGGCACGTTATGTCTTTATGAAAATCAATGAGCGGGATTCTCATGGTAGCAGCGTGGGGAGGTTTTCCCCAGGGGAAGCACGGCTGCGCGCGAAGAAACAGCACATCCGGTGCAAAGCAGCCGTGAGAAGAGAAGCAGCCGTCAATGGTCAGTTAATATATTCAAATTTAATGAAAGCACATTATAAACATACCGTAGCCACAACTCGGGACAGTTTCAGTTCATCAACAATAACATGAGGTAGATTGACTAGTGAAGCTAAATTCACCAAGTTTTTGGTTAAGAAAACTTTACACTAGGAAAGCAACATTTTTAACCCTCTTCCAAAAGTCACAAAAAGCAGTTACATAAGTTAAGCAAAATCATCTGCATATGATTCTTTAAATCTTAGTTTACATTCAAATTTAACCTGTGAATGGACAAGAACATCTACAGGTAAAATATAATGCTGGCCAACTGAATACATTCATAAGAATGGCCTTAAAACCCAAACGGAATGGCAATAATCCGGACGTCAAATATTGAAGGGCCTCCTTCCCAGGAACTCCCAGGCAGCCAGTCAGGAACGTCCCGTGGGACAGGCCTATGCCTTTTGAGCTGCTCTAAGTGCGCTCTGGCCCGAGTGGTCCCGAAAGAGACTCCTTGCTTCCGCACAGGAGAGAGTTAAGGAAATGGGTTTACTGTTAGTTGGTAAAGGCAGGCAAACACGCCGACTTTCTGACTGCACTCCCAGCCTTCTGGACGCTTTCGCACCGCTTCACCAGAGGGCTCACTCCTCAGAGTAGTCTCAGCACCTGGAATTTTAAGAACTTAGTGCAAACGTCAAATACACAAACAAAAAGGAAACCGTTTCCAAACACGTAATGCCTGAAACTTCTACACGACACCGAGACTCAGGGCTGGCCTTCCGCCCTCCTGGCAGAACCAGAACTACTGGGATACATTCAGGTGCGTAGCAGAAGTTTCAAGAAGCGTCTTTGATAGCCCTGCGTCTTCCGAGTGTGAAAATAGGTAAGGCAGGTTGTGCCTGAAGGAAAATGAAAAATAGATTTACAGAAATGGGTTGTTCATTGGAAATTTGCTAAATTTACAGCATCAGAGTTAAGCTACATTAACACAGATATATGCAAACCATTTTCCTTTACCCTCCGTCGAATATATTATGTTTTTTCATCTGTAAACATCTCTCTTCACAAGACAAAAAAAAGTTGCTTAATTAACACTATGTGTAAAAAAAAAAAATAAAAAATGCAGCTTTGGCAGGTCCTTCTCCAATGAGTTGCAGGTCAAGCAGAAGGATGTGTTAATATCGTTGCTTTTTTGGGAGTCAATTAATAGTCCTGAATTGCTTTTGAGAACACGCCGCATTTTTCTTTTTAATAAAAGGGGTCAGGATGTGCAGGATTTTCTTTTTTTTTTTTTTTTGGGTATGGAAATGCCAGTGGGGCAACCCGTGCCAGCTGCATGAGCAGAGCAGAACACTGCTCTGATTTAACCCTGACAACCAAAAGCTACTGCACTGAGTTCATTCCGGAACAACTTCCCGAGGATCAGCACTACATTTGTTAAGAAGAACAATGCGCAACTACCGCCACAACCAGTATTTACAGAGGTCAAGCAAAAGAAAGGGCTGACAGCGTCAGGTGACACGGTCACAGCTCTTGGCTGCTGGGCAGAGCCTCTCCTGAGCAGTCCCAGCTCCCTGGGACTCCCTCCTGCTTCCCTCTGAAGCTTTTGTAAAATACCTTCCGTCTCCCTTGGACACAGGGAGGTTTTTTCCTCTCAAATCCAGCTCGGGCATCGCCACCATCCTGCACATTTTTTGGTGCGTTGACTCACATATGGGTATGACTTGACAGACTTAATCCCAGCTCTGCAGCCAACTGGAGTAGAGTGAAAAGGACATGGAGAGGAATTTGCGTACGGCACCACCACAAAGGCATCGGACCTCCAGTAGAACTCGTTTCCGTAGGCAAAGGAGGGCGGACCATGGGTTTTGAAACTGCCATGAGAGGGAGAACCTGCAGGCGTTTTGCTGGGAAGTTATTCTGGCCTCTAACTGAGGAGAGAGCATCTAGGAGAAGCCTTTTGCTTTGTCCCTGGAGTCGAGGAGGTTCCTAACGGGGCGAAATAACGGTGCCGGGAGAACCTGGGCGCACAGTGCCTGCCACGCGTTTGCCGATTTGTTCAGGTTTAAGTAGTAAACTTTGAACACCTGTGGAAATTTTGCCAAAGACAGTTTCAATACATACACAGTTACAAATGTTAAACTAACACTGCACAGAGAACAAGACTATTCCTTTTCATACAAATATCTACGGTACATTGTAGTTTCAAACCCCTGAGTATTCCTGTACCACAGTACAGAGCTGAAGAGACACAGTGGGCTCTCCTCCACATATCTTCAACAAATTCCACGTGCTGGGTTGCGTTTCATGCAACACATTCAAGCTGGCAGCTGCTGAGAGCAGCTTCTTCCCCCAGCTCAGCTGAATATAAAAAGGATTCTTCTTCAACCAAATTAATGTCCTCTTCCTAGACCCTACGACTTGTTCGGCCGTGTGATTAGTGTCGGCGGTTGTGACCGATGTGAAAATAACTGAAATCCAGGATCCTTTAAGTCATAACTGATGTGGTAATTTTATCCCTAGGAATAAAGCCTACTTGAGAATTGTGGGGGATCCTTTAGAGCAGTCTAGATAAATATCGGTTGCACTTTGCTCCACAGTGATTGTACTTTTTTTTTAAAAAAAAAGTTCTTTTTTTCCTTTGTTAGCGGTGTCTTAGCGAAGCTTATATATGGCGTCCAGTAAGAAAATAGAGTGGTTTGTCATCGCTGCTGTTAGCAGTTTGAAACTCATCCCGAAGCCGGAACTGCCACTCATCCTCCAACTCCAACCGCACTATTGTCTGCCGTAACGAGCTTCTGTCTTGACATATGACACACAGGGTGGCACCTTCAATTGAAAAGCACGTTAGATTCTCAGGGTGCAGAAACAACTCTATTTTCTTCCTTCATTTTCCAAAGATATTTTAAAGAAATCTCTGCTGCTGGTTAGTAACACTTCTTATTTAAAAAAAACCCCAAAGTATTAGCAAGGATCTATCAACAACCAGCCAGCCTTGGCTCAGATCAGTCCCATGAGCCATGGGACAGGGGTGAATGTGTCTCTTTGCAGGAAGGCATGGACAGGGAAAAGGAAGCCCAGTGTGGGGTCTGCTCTGCATCACAGGATGTAGCTACCTGACCGGTGTTAGCATCATCAGCCATAGCAGAGGGTGTGTTAACTTGAATCCAAGATCCTTAAATTGCTACTGATAATTATCCCAAAAGAATAAAGCCTTTTTTCTTTTTTTATGGGACATTCAGGTTTGCACAAGGTCAGTGATGAAACTCTACTAAGCCAAACCACAGCCAGTCCCACAACTGACTCCTGAGAAAGTCTGCTTCAACTCCCCTTAAGTGTGAGAGCTCCCCTTGGTAAAGCACAGTGAGATGAAGAACAAACCCAAATCCCTCATTTCTCTGGCTTAACAAACTTGCAGCCTTCCTTCCACCTGGTGTTGCCAGACTGTGTCGTCATTTACTGAGCAGGAGAGCTGGACACCTTCAGGGCTTTCTCTGTTCTGTGCTCCAGCCCACACACCTGGCACACGGACAAG